TTTTTCTATACTGGTCCACTTGATTGTCATAGTTTATTTGATCTGTATTAGTTATTTTTATTCCAAATTATTGTAATCAGGCTGGACTGGACTCGGGAACTGGAAAGAAAAACAATAAGAAAAGTTAGGAAGAAAGTTAAGAGAAGGAGAGGGAAAGAAAAATAGGAGAAAGAGGATAGAGAGAAAGGATGATGAAAATCTGCTTCACCACCTGCTCAAGGAAAGGAAAAACAAAGAAAACAATGCTGTAGCGAAATTACAGCAACATCCAACATATGCGTAGGTAACAGTAAATAATAAATGCTGAATCTTATTAAGCTGTACACAAGATAAATAATGTATGATATGTTTAGAGGCAGCAGCCACCCAAGATTGTGTGTCTGTGAGTTGTGTGTGCTAGAGCTGAGAGCAGCAGATGTCAGCATGGCCCCTCCCAGGAGGGCTCAATGTCTACATCTTTGTAGGGACTAACGCGTTATTAAGTAACGCGTTACTTTAACTACGTTATTATTGTGGTAACGAGCACGGTAACTAGTTATTATGCCAAAATCAGGAACTGTTACTGGGATTTCGATAGGGTCGTCATTTTACTAATAAAACAGTGATACCAAATGCAGGTACAAACATTGCATACATGTATAGAGGCGCCGTCTGCATCTACGTAAGACGCTGCTTTTCCCCTCCGAGTGCAGCTATATGGTCTGAATGTTATAGTACTGAAATGCTGATTAATACTCTTCCTTTAACTCCATAATTTTCTTTTTTTTCTTTGATAAATAAGAAGGTAACCTCATTACCCTCATTGACCTCTACTCGTTGGATAATGCCGTAATACCTGTTGCATGGAGATGGGGAGCTTCGTTATCTCTCCGTAGCCTTCTGACTGTTCTCATTCAATGATTCAGTTGTGCCAGCAGTACTTATTGAACTATATCTGCCTTTTTGTGTTTGTTTGTTTACGTACTTGGACTACATTGAAACACTCCAACAATTACATTTGGACTTGGTGGCTGATACTCATGTATATATCTCATGTATATCTCATGCACATATCTTTCTTTCTACATAGCACTTTAATTCTTATTGTTTGCACTGAAGCACCGCAGCAATTTCCTAATGTTGTAAACCTCAACATCTGGCAATAAACCCCATTCTGATTCTGATTCTGATTCTGATACAGTTTCAAAACTTAACAGTTAGATTAGGGGTTTCTGTCATGGGCCTGGGTCATGCGACCCTGTGTTTCTGAGTTTGATGTTATTTTGTTTCTGTATTCCAGTTTCTTTTCAGTTATCTAGTTAAAAGCGGTAATGCCTAGTTTGCAGTTTAATTCATGGTTTTTCTGGTTCGCCTTGTGTCATGTCTACGTTTATGTTTCCTTTTTTACTTTCAAAGGGTCCAGTGTTCTTTGTTCATTGTATTTAATTTCACTTTCCCTGTCCTGTCATTAGGTTCATGTGTGTCAGCTGGGATCCCATGTGTGTCCACTTCCCCTAATCATCCCTGTAACTATTTAGTGTGTATGTTTCAGTTCAGTCTTTGTCAGATCGTCTGTTATCATCGCAGTCATAGTGTGTCACAGGTTTGCCTTAGTTTTGTTGTGTTTTTTAGTTACTCAGTGTTTATAGTTTCTTCATGGTGTTTTCACTGACTTTCATAGTCTTTAGTTTACTCAGCGTTCTCAGTCTTCTTTGTTTCTTAGTTCCATTGCTTACAGCCAAATAAATGCTCGCTTTTTGTTAACACTTGCAACCCCTCTCTCTGCGTCTGCTTCTGGGTCTTATAGCAAACATATCTTATGGTCACCGGAGCAGTGGTTAGATTGCTTCAACACCTAGGTTGTTGCTATCAAAGACAGGAGTAACACTTAAAATATGTTAAGTTTGAAGAGCTCAGTGCTTGTACTTGTTCATTTTCAGGGGAGGGTTTGGGGAGGGTAAGGGTCACTGCTACGAACCTTATACACTGACTCGGTTATTTATTTATTTTTACCTGTTCTGAACTAATTTCCACCCACTGTACAGTTATTTTGTTCTTATCATTTAAGGCCAGTGTGAATATTGTCTTTGCTCTATAAATCAGATTAGTCTGCAGTTAAGCTTTCTAAACTGGAAAGTTAAAGGTCTAAATCATCCAGTCAAGAGAAGGAAGGTTTTCTCACATGTTAAACACCATAACACTGATGTGGCTTTCCTCCAGGTGACCCACCTCAGGGCCTCTGATGTCTGTCTCTTCTCACGTTGGAGGGGCCAGTGTTTTCACTCACTTTTCCAAGCTAGGGCACGTGGGGTCTCTATATTGGTCAGAACATTCCCTTTCCAATTATTCCAAATATGGCAGATATGTCATAGTCAGTGGTAAACTGTATAACCGTCTCATTGCCCTAGTAAATGTGTCCTCTTTACCAAAATTAAATATCTACTCTCTTTTTCTGGGGGGTGATTTTAACTGCTGGTTCGACACAGCCCTGGATCGCTCATTCACTAAGAGTAATGTTCTAAGCAAATCTGCATCTGTCATTCATGCCTTTCTATCAGAATATGGACTGTGTGATGTTTGGCGTACCCTAAATCCTCATAAAAGAGATTACTCCTATTTTTCACATGTGCACCATACATATTCAAGAATTGATACTTTATCATTGACACTAATTGTCTGCAGCAGGTCCACTCCTCTGCCTACCATAGTGTAGTTATTTCAGATCACGCCCCTCTTACTCTGTGTCTGTCTCTTCCAAATCCTCCTGTTGGGAGGCGCTTCAATTCAACCCTTCTGTCAGATAAAAATTTTGTAAAGTTTATCCAGGATGAGATACGCTTTTACTTTGCCACCAACTCTTCCCCAGAGACTTCCAGCCTTGTCGTATGGGATGCCTTTAAGGTTTATATCAGAGGCCAGATTATTGCTTACTCGGCAAGAATAAAAAAAAAAAAAAACAGTCCACCAATGAAAGAAATATTAATACAACAAATTAAGGAGACCGATGAACAGTATGCTCTCAAACAGAGTTCTGAAATATTTAAAAAGCGTTTAGAACTTAAAACAAGACTTGATCTACTCACATTGTACTCAGCTGAACATTTACTCTTACATGGCAAATCAAAATTTTATATGTATGGTGACAAACCTGATAAATTACTGGTGAGCCTTCTAAAAGTTTCTGGGGCAAGGCAAAGTACTGTTAAAATTTGACAACAAGATGGCAACATAGTCACAGATCATGAAAAAAACAATGAAGTGTTCAGGGATTTTTACTCACAGCTTTACACCTCCGAGTCCCAAACTGACTGCAATGCAATTAATGAGTTCTTAGCTAAACTTGACATTACTGAAATAACACCAGGACTTAAAACAAGGCTGGACGAACCCATCTCTCAGTTAGAAGTTTCCTTAGCTATAGCTTCATTGCAATCTGGCAAGTGTTCAGGTCCAGTTGTCTTTCCGTCAGAAGTTTTCAAACACTTCTCTTCATTATTGTCCGTGCAGCTTAGTTCAACCCTCACGGACTGCATCAGACAAGGATCTATTCCTCAGTCATTCTATGAAGCCTGTATTACACTTTACAAAGAAAGGAAGAGATCCGTTGAAATGTGCCTCTTATAGACCCACATCCCCTATTGAACACAGACGCTAAAATATTAGCCAAGATACAGTGGCTTGCAAAAGTTTTCGGCCCCCTTGAACTTTCCCACATTTTTTCACATTACAGCCACAAACATGAATGAATTTTATTGGAATTTCACGTGAAAGACCAATGGAATTGCATAGTGACAACAGTATATCCTTACCAGCTGCACTTTGCTCTCCACTCCTGGCCCCCTTCCTGCTCTGTTTGGCATCAGTAGGAATGAGGTACTTCTACTGGCCTCTAAAAAACAGGCATTATCATTCTCTTCCCTGTTGGCCAGGAGGGCAAATTTCAAAGCATGTGGGGTCCCTTCCTTGATGCATTTCAAAATCTGTGAGAATTTTCCAGCAAACTCTCTTATGTCAGGTGTGGAAATACAGTGTACAGGTCTAGGGCAGTGACCTGGGTGGGAATGAACAGGTTTATTTGGCAGGGATTATGTTACTTTGGGAAATATCATACATATGTTTATATTTCTCCTTTTTTCTTCTTCTCTGTATTTCCATTTTTTCATTTTCTTTCCCCCCCCTTTTATTTCACAGCCTAAATGAATGAGCTACTTAACCCGAATGTACAGATCATCTGTAATCCTTTTCTTTTTTTCTGTTTATATGTATTAAAGGAAAAACTCTTAATAAAAAGACATTGTTTAAAAAAAAAAAGACTAACATCGGTAGTGATCAATTTGCTTCATATATATTTAATTTTATATGCTAGTTAAGATTCACTTTTATGTTATTTAATGAATGTTTATGAAGAAACACTGAGTGGCTCTGTTCATAAATACCTGATGTTAACGTGTGTGAAGTGTTTTTACATATATTTTCATGTCTGCATTGACTGGATTAAAATGCAGTGGCTTCAACAGACCTGCAAACACTGGCTGAGTAAGAAAAATATGAATCCCACACTAAGGTCAAAGGTCAGAGTGGAAACCACCATATGTTGTTGAACAAACTGAAGCCGTGCTGCCGCCTGCTGGTTGCATTTATACAACACTTTGATCCAAAGTGAACAGTTTTCCTCTGATTCACACTCACAGCAGTGACTGTGAGCGAGTCACTCTTTGGAGACAAGAAACTTTGTAGTTGTTTTGCTTCACACTCATTAAAAAGTAAATTAAACATCTGAGTGATTTCTGAAGTTGACAACAGTAAAAAAAAGTCTTAATTATTTGTAGCCAATTTTAATATGGATCATTAATATATTACTAACAACTAATGTCCTGATGTCATGATGATTTACAATAATTTAGATGTTTTTTTAAATTAATGTCCAAGTGTCTTCATTTGGCATAAAGTTGCAGCTGTGTTGTAATACACCAGGTTTACCAATAGATGTCAGCAGAATTAGAGTTGATGAGATCCAGACCTCCAGTCTGAGTCACTTGTTCAGGGGTTTGATATTTGTCAGAGACCGAAACACCTCAGCTCTCTGTTTTCATGTCAGACTGCAGAGTGAACCACTGTAAACGTCTCCCTGGAGGACGAACATTTAAAACACAGCAAATATGATTTCCTACTGTCAGCCACAGCTGTAATCTGCTCTGTGTTGGTCTGAACATTTGGATTAAGACAATTATTATTTTGTCAAAATCGCACTTCAATTTGCAAAGATGAAAAAGGAAAAAAATCATCATATATTCACTTTTTTTTTGTTAAACGTTACACACAAATTGAAATATGAAATAGTTGACGCATCATTTCCTCTATGTTGGTTTCAGGGTTAAGCAGACGCAGACACACAAACACTGAACTGAAACTTTCTGGTGTTAGATTTACAGCCACTCACTGATGTTCGCGCTGATTATAATCCACAGTTGTGGTTTTGTTTATCTTTAATCTTTGCTACAATCACTCAAGATAATTATCAGCCGGCCACAACAAAACAGGAGCAGCTCAGATTCATCACATCAGATGACCTGATGAAACCCAGAAGCACACAAGAAAATCAACAAGTGAGAAGAAGACTTTATTGATCCTGCAGAGAAACCAGATCTCTGCTGCAGGAACAACTACACGATCAAACAAACACAAACTACAATTAAAATATATAAATTAGAGTGAAGTTACAGCTAAGAGTAACTCGAGGTGTATTAAATGCACTCCGGTCTGATGGCCTGGTCATCAGTGGTTGGACGGGTGAACTTCTTCACTGAAGAGTAGATGACCTCTGGCTTTGATGGCGTCTCTGATCACAAAGACACACAATTCAAACAACATGAAACACAGTTGTAGAAAAAATGAAGTCAACCTTTGCAACACAAATCTGTATTGATTAAGGGCAGAAGAGCTCCTGATACTCCCACATGACAATCTAACGTGCAGATTAAGGAATTATAGTGACCTCTGACCTCTGTGGCCTCACATGAATAAATGCTGGTTTCCTTGTTTCACTTCATCACGTTTCCCTCCACACATAACTAAGAAACTTTTTTTTAAAAGATTCAGAATACCTTCAACCATTATTATAGCATTAACATTATTATTTTCTTTTTAAAGATGTTGTTATGTTTCCTTGATAGTTCTGGTATTTTAAAATATGTAGACATTCCCTATGATTAATGTTTTATATGTAGAATACTGCAGATGAAATGGGCATCTGTGCAGCACCTATGCTGGCATAATGCATTCGTTTGCTTAACTTATCCAAAAATCTCACACTGAGCACCAAACATTTAGGATCTGTTTTTACTGTGTTACTAACCTGACCCTCAGGACAGATGTGCACAATGACCACGTCTGATTTGTGCAAGATTTATTCAAACTAGCATTGCTCCTCACAGAGATATAAAAATATAAACAATACTACCTCTGGCCTCTCTCGCTGTCTGCTGAGGCTCTTGTGCTATTTTGATTTCGCTGTACGTGGTGTCATCTGTGATGGCATCTTCTCCAGCTTCTTGATCAGCTGAACCAAAATAAAGTAAAATATGATTTAAAGACACTCAGAGTGGGCCTTTCTTTATAAATGTAATTAAAAGATTGAAATGATAATATTAGCACTTTATAATAGAGCCTTCAATTTAGATGCACCCTAATCTACCATGTAGCACAGGTGTCTTCTACATTTAGGGTTTAGTTTTCAGTAAACATATTTAACTGTTTGAAACAATGAATAATCCTAAAGTAAGAAGGGGAGGTTAGGAGAGTCTATGAAAACAGCCTGAACTGCAAAAGACAACAAAGTGAAAATGCACATTAGGATAAACTGTAATATAATAAGTTGTAATAAAACATTCAGAGCAAGTATTTGTACCTGACCATACCTCGAGGTCACAGAGTAATATTTCATGATGATAAAAGTAACACTTCATAACACAACCACTGACTTATTTTGTAAGTTGCTAACAGTGACCATGTGTTTCTTCTAAATGAGGGGTATGTTGTTAAAAATGCATTTACTATAATTCACACATACATATGAAACCTGATGAGGAAGCAGTGAATGTTTTCAGGTAGTGAAAATAACACTTTAGATTCCAAACATGATAAATTTTGGGAATTCACACTATAGAGTTTGAGCTGTAATGTGACAACATGCACTTACAATGTAGACACAAAATATAAATATAGGAAATTGTTTAAATGTACAAACCATTTAGCAAAATTAAGCCACACATACAAAATCCAGACATTTGAGTCTCACCTTCAAGTTTTCTGCAGACACATTCCCTCATCACTAGAACCAGTAACAACAGCAGAACCAAAACACAGACTGATCCAAAGACCAACACAGCAAGTAGAGGAGGTAACGCAGGTGGAGGGGTGGAGGCAGGTGGAGCTGCAGTGATGGGTTTTTCTAAACGAACCGAAGAAAAAGTTATTTTCATGCACTGAATGTTTGAATACTGAATACACAAACAGGTGAGTGTGTCACCTGTGACAGTGATCCAGCTGGATGGAGACTCTCCATGACCGCTGATGTCACACTTGTAGAGCCCTTCATCAGACCTGGAAACATGCTGGATGGTCATGTGACCTGTAGGCTGCTTCCTGATGAGGGAGCCATCTTTATAGAAAGCAGCTGGGAGGTTGGAGGGGGTGGTGTTTGTTTTACAGAGCAGAGTGACGTCATCTCCCTCCATCACAGGGAGGACAGGACTCTGCAGGATCACTGATCCACCTCAACACAGAGACAAACTACAGCATTTCATCCATTTACACACAGCTTCATCAGCACTAACTCCACACACTCAGCTTACCAGTGACTGTCAGGTTAACCATGTTACTGATGGGACCCTCTCTGGACTCACACCAGTAAACTCCAGTGTCCATTGGGTCGATGTAGCTGATGTTACAGCAAGAACCAGGTGGCTCTCCCCATTCTTGATTGTGATCTCCACACTCAGCTCTGGTGTCTCTGCTTGTGTTTCTCCTCAGAGTCCATCCAGCAGAGCTGTCGTCCTCCTCACAGCTCAAAGACACAAAGTCTCCTTCGAAAAATTGAGAGCTGCTGGGACTCACAGTCAGATGGGCTGTGAGGGAAACATCAGAAGAAGACATCCAAACATTGGTCATCTCAGCTGATCTCAGTTAAAGCACACATAAAGTGAAATTGTTACCCTTCTATGAAGGGTTGACAAATGTTTTAAAAGACACATTATTTACAGGCTGCTCTACCCTGAATACTGTTGCTGTTTTTCTGCAAGCAGCTTTTTCAGCCACCTCAACCTCAGCTGAGGAGGTCCTACAACTGCTTTTTCTTGTTTCAGAATGACAGGGCTTAGTTACAGGAAACAAAAATAAAACAGAAACAGAAACAGAACAATAAAGGAAACAAAACACAGGGAGACTAAACAACAATACAGAGACACAGAATTATAAAACAAAACTAAACAAAATGACAAGGGACAACTACAAAAAGCAATCCTCCTCATGAGACTCGCATTACAACCATGTGACCTATGTGTCATGTAATTATATTTGTGGTCTCTTTATTTCTTGTAAAAGTGGAAATGGCAATTAATTTTGCACAGCTTACAATTCATGGTGTGTGATCCTGGACTTTGGTGCATATAGTGCATGTATGAAACAAGAAGTCATCTGTCTTCTCACTGGTTGCTCCTCACAAACACAAGGCTGGACCAGAAGGTTTTTAGTGCAGTCTGAAGCCTGAGATGTTGGCTCACAGGAATTACTTATACTTATCTCGTTATTAGAAACTTTAGCCATGTTGACTGTTTAGTATGAACAGGCAGCGGGGAAAGTTAAATAGGTCACCTGTAGTAAGCATGTAAATGTACCAATGAACAGATGTGCACTGATGGCAAGACACAGAACTGAAGTAAAGTTGAGTGAAATAAAAAATTGCAATAAAAATAATACTTATTTTTATAAATGATTGTTTTTAACAGCTTAAAGTCTCAGGTGGTCGTATAGAGTGCAACGGGCAGAGTAACTGCAGCAAATACTGCAAATCGAGAGCAAACAGACCCCTGATGGCTGGAGCCACACTGAAAAAAATGTTACAGAGAAAAGTGCTGTGTGGTTTATTAATGCGTTTGAAAAATGTACCAACCTTGGGAGGGTCTGCAGCCCAGCAGTGAAGTCAGCACTGAGGAGAAATGACACACAGGTTGGTGTTAAATTCAAAAAGGAAACGAGTGTAATGCCATTAACTGCTTTGTTCTTTTTTTGTTTGTTTTATGTCTTGGGTTTTTTTTGTTTTGTTTTGTTTTGTTTTGTTTTTCTTTGTTTTACAAACTTACAAAAAGCAGTTTTTAATTGATGATTTCATTTATTAAGGAAAACATAGTCCAATCCTAGTTGGTTCTGTGAGAAAAAGTAATTGGAAAGCTGAGTTCAGTTTGACCAGCAACACCCAGGACAGGTTACTGTCAGACATGTTTGCTAAAGCATATAGTTAGGACTGGATCAGGTGACCCTGAATCCTCCCTTAGTTATGCTGCAAGGTGTAGGCTGCTGGAGGATTCCCATGATGCATTGGGTTTTTTACTTTTCAGTATCTCTGCATTGAATCATATCTGTTATTAATCTCTGTCTCTCTTCCACAGCATGTCTTTATCCTGTTTTCCTTCTCTCACCCCAACTGGTCGCTGTTTTTTAATAAATGCTGGCTCGCACATATGGTAAATGGCCTTTATTTATATAGCGCTTTTCTAGTCCCTAAGGACCCCAAAGCGCTTTACATATCCAGTCATCCACCCATTCACACACACATTCACACACTGGTGATGGCAGCTACATTGTAGCCACAGCCGCCCTGGGGAGCACTGACAGAGGCGAGGCTGCCGGACACTGGCGCCACCGGGCCCTCTGACCACCACCAGTAGGCAACGGGTGAAGTGTCACAACGACACAACGACGCAGACTGTCCGAGCTGGGGCTCGAACCGGCAACCTTCCGATTACAAGGCAAACTCCCAACTCTTGAGCCACAATCGCCATATCAGCTGTGTGCGGATGTGTCACACCAATCAATCAGGCCCATTTAAAGTTTGCCAGTAAACGTGTGAATGATTGAGAGAAGATTCCTGAGCATCCTGTGGTCAGATGAAAGTAAAGTCATGCTGTTTGCTATCAGCTGTTTGAAGAAGAGAAACGCCCTAAAGATTCTTTGAGGCTCTTTTTCTGCAGAATGACTTCTTTCCACTGAGGAGCCAATGAATCGAGCCACTGAAGCTCCTTCCATCAGCCAGAAAAATAAAGATGGGTTATGGCTGCATGACAATGACTAAGAACATACTGCAAAGGCAACAAAGGAGCCGCTAAAGCAGAAGCATATTAAGGTCATAGAGCAGTTTCAAGACCTCGGTCCTGAAGAAAATCTGTGGAGGGAGCTTAAGAAGAAGCAACTGAAGCAAACCTTCGTACAAACCCATTGACCACCAACGAGAAACGTTTCACCCTATGGTTGATATTCTCTCTCTCTCCGCGTTCACTTTATATTTCTCACATTTTGCGAGCTGAGTGTACAGTTTTGCAATTTTTATAATCTGTCTCCAGCAAATATTTCCTTACATTATAACAAAAATAAGAAAAATCTAAAACTTGTATTTAAAAGCTGCTATTTTTCAGCATCAAACAGGATTTCACTCATTTGTCCGATCATTCAATCTGCCCACATAACACTTGTTCCTGTGACCTTTCGTGTTTCCATTAATGCTCCCGTTTCTATTATTTCGTATTTGGAAAAGCTGTACTTACAGAGCGACAGCAGGAGCGATGTTCTCGGCATTGTTTCACATCTTTATTTGCACATTTGTTTCAGTTACACACACCCCAAAAACAGTGTCCTACTTCTGTGTAAGTGTCTGTGGTTTTCTGTCAGCTGTAAAGGAAAAAGGAAAAACATCTGACGTGGCTCCGTTTCTCAGCACAGAGACCACCCGAATGCGTGACGAACTGAGAGTGAAACCAAACTACAAAATGTTTATGGTTCTGGTTTTGAATGAAACTCTGCCCTCATAAAGAACTCTTACTCTACTCTTACTTACATGTTAACTTTACTTTCAGAGCATCTTTCAACAGCTGAAAACAAATATGAATACAACACTGAATAAAATAATCGTGTGACATAATCACACTCTGTCAGCACTTCCTGTGCATTTCCTCTGAGCTTTGAGTCTCTGCTGGTAAGCCAGACGTTGGGAGCCATTCACACCACAGACTGCGGCATGTTTGCTGTATGAATGTGTTAAACTGCCAGCCCGGGCCTCTCAAGTACATTTTTTCCTGCATCTGTGCATCTTCTCTTCCGAAATCTGTAAAACATCTCAAGTTGAGAACCTGTAAGTCTGTTGCTTGCTTCAGATCAGTCTTAGAGGATTTAGATACCAGCTGCAGCTGGAAACAAAACTAGAGATGGTTTATAAATTTAAGCTGAAGCTAACGTATATGTGCAAAGTGAGAATCAATGTGACATTGCCAAGTCAGAAAGTATGAGCGCCTTCTTGTCAGCTCAAACAAAAAGTCTCGTCGGTGGCTTGACGTCATAATGACAATCATGACAGGCGAATCAAACCAAGATGCAGAGCTGAATATGAGACCTTCTCAAAGCAGAATGTAAAATGGATCACACGTGAAGTACAAAAAGTCTGACAACATGAAGGTGTTTTGTCTCAGCACACATCCTCTCATGACCACTAGTGTGTGACTTTACACACCTACATATTGTATTATTGATGCCCCGCTAATACTGGGCTGGCCCCAGTTCAACAGGGTACTGTAAACATTCCTCTGAGATTTTGGTCCATATTGACATGATGACATCACACATTTGCTGCAGATTTATTGGCTGCACATCCCCTGTGTTCCACCACATCCCAATTAGATTAAAATCGGAGGTGATTTGAGTACACACTGAACTCATTGACATATTCTGAGCTTTGACAGCTTTGATGTTCTGAGGTGCTGGAAGCAGCCATCACTATGGTGGTCTGATGGACAGGGTCAGCAGTGAAACATTTGCAGTTTGTTGTTGTTGTTTTTTTAAGTAAAATCATTCACGGTTTTCATTCAAGTTGTAGTGAAATGAATAAAAATCAGCATGTTGAGGATCGTCTAGCATGTGTAATATTTTGGCATGCTGTGGTGTTCCTGCTGTGTTCTGCATGCTAAATGTGAGGCTGCAGTTAACTGTAGTTGTGTTTGTGAGTTGACACGTCGACTTTAATCTCTCAGATTTCCACATGTCAAACGTGCACATAGACTAGGAGGAACTTTACATCTTAGACACTTTACATCTTTAAAGTGCTCTCAGAAATTTCTCTTCCTCTTGCTCTGCAGAACTGAAAATCTTTGTTTGAAATACAAAAGTCATTCTCTCAGTTCTTTAAAGCGTTAAGTCTAACTTTATTGTCCTTCATGTCACGGTGGACCACAGCCGCTCATCTTTGCTCCTGTCCTTCATGGATTCTCTGATATTCATCCTGATTTTGACTCTGATTTCTGGGTATTCAGGTGAGTGAAGCGGTTAGCCTTTTCATGCATAGCGGTCACTACAGTGGACAGCTATTCAAAGGCTGTTTTCTTGTATTTGTGCCAGTGTTGATAGTATACTTGCACATAAACCACTGCAGTGGACACTGATGTGTTTTTCCATACACATCAGTTGTGCACCTATTTTATGCCTAAAGATGAATAAAAATACTTATGAAAAAATCCTGATTGAGGTTGTCATAATTCATGCATGCCAGGATTAAAGACAAAAGTCAATATGTGGGCAGTCTTTTAATGCTGTGTTTGTCTGAGTAAAGGGTGAATGTTTACTATAGCAGGCATCTGTTACTGTTAAAGTAACTGTAATAGCAGTGCTTTGAAGAAAGACTGCCTTAGGATGTTAAAGAGGTGTTGGTGGTGGCATAAGTTACAGAAAACTCAGACCTTTATTAGTCTGTTACTGATTTAGATGAACTAAAGGGCCAGATGAATCACTGAGGTCCTGTATCAGGTCTTTTCTGCATCTTTTCTTTACTGCTCACATTTACTAACTATATGATATTCAGACACTGTTCATCTCCTGCAAACAGTTTTTTAGGCTGCTTCTTTTTTTGTCCTCCATTGGTCCAGTTTCGCTCTGCGTCATTGCAAAATCCTATTTTATGTCTATGAAACTGTTACATTTGGAATTTTTAGTAGAATAAAATATTGTCTAAGAATATTAATATAATATTAATTCATCCCTTCAGTCAGGTGGCTCGTTATGCTTGAATGATTCATAGATCAGTGTTAAGTGGTTAAAAAAAAAAGAAAAGAAAAAGAAAAAGAGCATCTGACTGAAAATGGTCAGGTAAAAGGACTGGACTGAAAATAAATGGAAAATCAGCAGGTGTCCAAAGAAACACTTTGAAAGCCATTTTTCAGAAGACCACTTTAACAAATTCTAAGAAAGTAAATTGGAAGTAAAATATAAAGAAATGAGGGATGACTCAAGAGTTTTGCATAGTATCCATCTTTTATATACAGTTGGTAGATGTAGGCAGGAGTGGGCTCAGACCAGCCAAATGGTGGCTTGTTTCCATTCATCCGGTGGAAAAAAAATAACAGAGGAAACATGAAACACTGACTGACTGATTGGATCAGCGGATTGCAGCACGCCTCCAGAGTTTCTCAGTGCCCACCTTCAGAAATGCAAACAGAGAGGGGAGGAAACAGAACTGTGTATGTGTGTGGACAAACACACACGTTCTGACGTGTAGATGAGTCATTATGTTGCTTGTGTTGTTTTTGTTCTTTGCCATAAAGAGTTCATTTCTTTCTAGGTTTTCTTTACCTCTTACCTCTGTAGCTAACACCTTTACCGTCAGATATATCATTACTGATTGAATGTTGTGTTAGATCTTTGCTGGGAGAGAAGTTGTTGCTGAGTGTGGATTAAAGTTTACATTAAATGTGCTTAGTGATTATTTTCAGTTTGTTTTACTGCAGGTTAAGATTTTTTGAGCAGATGTTCATTCCTACAATGCGTGCTCTTCTACAGCCTGTTGAAACGACTTCTGCCCACATGTTCTGTGGTTTCATTTCAGCTGCCACAGCTCGTCTGACTGTGAGTCCCAGCAGCTCTCAGTTCTTTAAAGAGACTTTGTGTCTCTGAGCTGTGAGGAGGACGACAGCTCTGCTGGATGGACTCTGAGGAGAAACACAAGCAAACAACAGAGGACTCAGTGTGGAGATGGGTGGGGAGAAGGTGCTGGTTCTTCCTGTAACATCAGCTACATCTAACATTGGACAGTGGAGTTTACTGGTGTGAGTCCAGAGAGGGTCCCATCAGTAACATGGTTAACCTGACAGTCACTGGTAAGCTGAGTGTGTGGAGTTAGTGTTGATGAAGCTGTGTGTAAATGGATGAAATGCTGTAGTTTGTCTCTGTGTTGAGGTGGATCAGTGATCCTGCAGAGTCCTGTCCTCCCTGTGATGGAGGGAGATGACGTCACTCTGCTCTGTAAAACAAAGACCACTCCCTCCAACCTCCCAGCTGCTTTCTATAAAGATGGCTCCCTCATCAGGAAGCAGCCTACAGGTCACATGACCATCCAGCATGTTTCCAGGTCTGATGAAGGCCTCTACAAGTGTGACATCAGCGGTCATGGAGAGTCTCCATCCAGCTGGATCACTGTCACAGGTGACACACTCACCTGTCTGTGTTTCTGCAGCTTTCAACATTCACAATGTGACGACAACTTAATGACTGTGTTTGCTTTATTTTAGACAAACACACCACCACACCTCCACCTACATCCACACCTCCCCCTACATACACACTTCCACCTACATCTGGACTTTCACTTACATCGTCCTCTGCATCATTCGTCCCTGGTCTTCTTCCTGTCTTGCTGACTGTTGCATCAGCCTGTACTGCGATGCTGAGATGACACGATTACAGGAAACTCAAAGGTGAGATTCAGACTTCCGGATTTTACGTCGTTTTAAACTTTATATTTACCACAGTTCAAAATTTTCTTCAATATTTAATTTCTTAAATAATTTTTAAAAAATTGTGGTTTGTTTCAGATAAACAAGAAGGAGCTGGATGAGACAACATCACCAGTGTCATCATGCATTTTCACCGTCTATGAGGACATTTTTATCAATGACATTATTATTACTGTTTCTCTCGATTGCAGAGACTCGTTTCTTAAAATGATGTCTCCTAAAACTTTCTACACAAGTTCACAACTACACAGCCACTTACAACAAAACCTCCATTTACCAGGTTAAAAGCAAACTTTGCCTAAATATATCACATAAAGCCCTCAAAGCACACTGGAGTTCCCCACCCCTGCTCTTTGGCTGTTTTCTGCAGGGGTGGGGAACTCCAGGGCTCGAGGACCAGTGTCCTGCACGTTTTAGATGTGTCCTTGATCCAACACAGTCTTTAAGTTCTCCACAGGCCTAGTAATGAACTAATCCTTTGAATCAGGTGTGTTAACCCAGGGTGAGATCCAAAACCTGCAAGACATCAGCCCTCGACTCCTGGAGTTCGACGCCTGTGCTTTTCTGTGTGCAAAACCAACACCATGGGGATCCCCCACCCTCAGCTCTCAGGTTTATTCCAGTGTTTCATTTTTTCCAGGGCAAATCTGTTTCACCAAGATCAAAGTTAATCTTCATAAACTGAAAATTCAGATGAATTAAATCTCACATAAACATATTTTAATCCATCCATCCATTCTCTTCCACTCATCCTTGTCAGGATTGTAAGGATGGCTGCAGCCTATCCCAGCCACCAGGGTGGGAGGCGGGGTACACCCTTGCCAGTCTGTCACAATGCCAACACAGAGACAGACAACTATTTACACCTATGGGTAATTTAGATTCACCAGTTGACCTAACTCCACTAACTGCATGTCTTTAGACCAGGGGAGGGCGCTAGAGTGCCCAGAGAGAACCCACACAGACACATGCAAACTCCACACAGAGAGGCCGTGGCATGGT